CTCCGCACACTTTTTTTTTTTTTCCCTGCCGGATACACTAAAATATTTAAGTCATGTCTTATTCTTTTAGAGGCCCTGGGGTGGATTTGGCATAATCAAACTCACGACAAGAACAGTAAAGTCTGAAATCTGTTCTAAAGTGTACTTTTAATTTTAAAATCCACAATTATACTGCAAGCCTTTTTAAATATATTAAAGAATACATGAAAGCGGTCTATTAAAAATTAAGAGTCTCTTTCCTCATGCAGGTGCATGGGGAAATCCTATTTTACATATTAAACAGATCATTTCCTTATATTTTAGATGTTTGGCTTTAAAAGGTGACCAGTACACACAACAATGTCCTGTAGTGCAGCTGTACTAAAGCATATTTCAGTGAAGTTATTTGAGATGATGCTAAATAAAAAGCTACTTAAGTTGCATTAGTCTGACTTTCATGTGGCATTCAAAAATTCAGTCACACAAGCCAGATAGTAGTTTGATCACTAACAGAAAACAGACACACACTCATCTTCATTTCCTCTTTTTGTCCAAAGTGCATGCAAATGCATTCCAAAGGCTGAAAGGCGGCTGGGATTTCACAAATGCAAAGCGCTTGAATTGGTTTTACAAACTGCTTTGCATGACTTTCAGCTGTCCAACTACTTTGTTTTTGTTTTTTTCTTCTCAATTTGCAACCAAACTGCTTTTTACAATAAACAGACAAAGGCTGTTATGTATATCATGATTTGCGACTTTAAACTTTTGCACAGCCTAAATTAATTTATGACAATAATAAAATCCCACAAAGCTTACTTGTATTCTACTAAAAATGGAAATATCACATTATAATTGCCACCAGCTATATATAATATTTATTCCTTTTTTAGAAGACTAAAAGTTATTTAACTCAATTAATAAGACTGATAAACAATAAAATTGCATGCACATTATCAGTTTAGTTTTTTCCTAAATGTATAAATGTCCTCAACAACATTTTTAAAATGTTGCAAACCTCTCAAAATCATTCATTTTTTGCAGCCAGAAAAAAAACTTTTTAGAAAAATTTGCAATGCTTTGCAACACCAAGAACTTCACACTCTTTGATGTCAAAATTGACCAGTTTACCATTTAGAAATTTTTAACATAACATTGTTAGAAATATAAAATTTTACATTTTGAAGACAAAAGAAAAACCTTAGAATTTTAACATCAAAACTGCCAGTTTGCCATTTAATTTTTTTAACATTACATTGTAAGAAATGTAACATTTATATCACATTAAAATATTTCCAAACACATTAACAACCAACCAAAGGATGAACCATTTACTAACCTAAAGGTCGGTGCTGCAAGCAAGGTGGGAAGAAGACACTCGCGCTTAACTCCTGAAGCATCACGTTTGAGTTAGACCACAACCAGCATGTCTTGCCATGAGAAACAAAAAATTGCCAAAACAAACCAAAAAAAAGTTAAGGGGAAAAAAACAAAGCGGTAAAAGCTGAAGCTCTGGAAGCGATCTACCGCCAATCCATTTCTTTAACAAAAAGAGTTACAAAAATAAAGAAAAGTAAAGAAAAAAGCTCTTAGAACTTAATATATGAGAGGTATCAGGCGAGAAAGAGAGGGATACAAAAAGGAAAGAAGTGAGGGAGAGAAGGTGTGCACGTGTGCGTGCATGCGAGAGAGAGAGAGAGGTGGCAGTGTTGGTGGCTCGTCTGCCTTAGCTACTGCCAAAAGCAGACGAGAGGAGAAGAGAGTGAGCGAGACTGCAAGTTCTTCTGGTAATTTGTGATGACACTCAAAGTAGAACCTCCTCGGTCTCCCCCTAGACTCCTGCTCTTCTCAAGCACTAATGTATGCATGACACACCAAGTGCCTTTGCTACAGATGCATTAATTGGACTGCAGATTAGGTCTGTAACTTGAGGCATATTTGCTCCCCTCCCCCAAATCTCCCCCCACGCTCTCTCCACTTTGAAACAAAAGCTCGATCAACCACTGAGAAACCTTGAGCGAGACTGAAGTAAACAGACCAGAGCTTACCTTCAGCGAGCCAGGTCTCCTGAAGTTGACTGAGATCTTGAAACAACTCTAAAAACAAAGACAGCAGAGTTTGAGATGGCGAAACAACAGGTACAAAGCTTTAATTATGTGTTTTGACCCTCAGCGCATCTCGATTTCAGTCTTAAAGCCCTCTGAAGACCGAGGCGAGTGCTGCTGATTGAGATTTTAAAGCCCCGAGTGCAGGTGGCAACGAGCGATATTGCATTTTGCGAGATGTTAAGAAGGCGTGAAATGAACATTGTCTTTTTCACCCACACCTGAGTGCTTACCCTCGGTGTCCAAAGCCAGGTCAGAGTTAATGAATTTTCTTTTCCTGTCCTTCGCTGGTCTCGTGTTGGACGTCTTTCCCCGAGGATTCTAAGCAGAAAGCAACAGATCAATTGCCTCAAATGAAGATGGAGTGTGTCGAGTTTGCTTTTGAAAGACATGCAACACACAACTTTAGCTTCACACATCATGCTTACTGCTAATATATGAGAGATTCTTTAGTTAGTGGCACTTTGGACTTGTTTGCAATCTTTAAAAATGAAATATAAAACTGGGGTTCATCATGTCCTGGAATAAAAGATATGGCCTTGATCAACCCTTAAGTGGAGTTTTTATTTTGATGGCAATTTTTTTTTTTTTTAGGAAAACGATGAATAAGTCGTGGACTTACTAACCCAACATGTTAGAAAGTCAACAATGATTTATTTATTTTTTTAATTGTTTTTTTTTTCAGTCTCAAAAACTGACCCATTTTAATGATACCTGTTTTAAAAGTTATAAAACAAATTTTAAAATGAACGTTTTTAATCTTCACACTGTCACTTTCCATCATAACATTACTGTATTAAATGTGTAATATCTTAATTTTTTTTTTAAATTCAACTATACATACATATACCAGCTGAACTGAAAATATGATTTATTTATTTTTTAGAAAAAAGTTAAATATATAATTTCCCTTGTTTCAACACAATTTAAATGTATTATATAGGGGAAGGTAAAAAGCCCAAAATATAGCAATTCTGGCATATATGAAGTTTGATTCGCCATAACAAGATTTAAAGCTATTATAATCAATAATTTAAAACTATCAATGATTATTAATGTCTTCGAGATCAGTCTAGAAGTTTCCCTGAAGTGAAGGATCACGCACATACAAATGACAGACCTGTCACGTTACGGTTTAAAAAACGCAGATTCTCGTCATCATTCAATTATATGACAGATACATATTTGCAATCATGGAGAGCACTAATTTACCTTCATCAGACTTACATGAGATTTTATGAAAGGCACTTGTTGGTCGTAAAGTCCGTCCATTCTGCAGCGGTTGGACTCTGAGCGCGCCGTCCGATCACCCTTTGAAGTAGGAGACTGACTTTAAGCGATTTATTGGAGATGGAACATGAACTGCTGCGCGCTCGAGCGCATTCAGCGACTCCACATTCATAAATATATCTTTCATTTGACTGACTACATGCTGACTATTAGGAAACAGACACTAAATGCAGCAGATCCGTGACATTTTATAGATACAGTTGCAAGTGTCCTAATGTAAATATGTTGCGGTGCTGTGAGTGCGTAACGCGGTGAACCGATCCTCCGAAGGGACTGGACTTTTGGAAACTCTTTTTTCTGTTTCTAGTTACGTTTTACTTTAAGCGTCGAAGATGATGGAGAACTTAAAGCTTGCACTCACCCCAGTAAACGCACCGCATTCATTCATGGATGTGTCGCCGGACTGAATGAGAAAAGCGCTCTCGTGTCTCTCCTCCGCGCTCAAGTCAACACACACACACTGCCTGCTGCTCCAGGGGCCTCCCTTTAGAAACAGCCGGCGCCCCGCTTCCCATTGGCTGCCACTGTCCTCCGCCGGATCAGATTTCCACCCGTCAATCAAGAGCCTATTTCACCGTTCCTTCATTAAAATATGCACAACTGATATTGCAATTATAAGGTGTTTATTTATGAGAAACACAGCACATCATTATAATCTCTCTTGTGGCTAGATGTTTTGGAAATTATGTGCATAAAAGTGCACACAATCATTGTATCCAGTTTACAACCCTTACAAATGACCTAACAGTTTTTGACAAGCTAAAAGAAGCTTTCAAAAGAATGAAATAAACAGACATACGCTCAGAATGACCACATCAACATTTTCTAAAACCGTTTGTTATTCATAAATCTCTCTTTTAGATAATTTAATGCAGTGGTTCTCAACCTGTGGGCCACGCCCCCCTAGAGGACCTCAGCAAACTTCCAAGGGGGGTAATATTATTTTAATATTAAATATAAGAGGCAAAAAGGCATTATCACAAAATAAATCCTGACATGGTTATCAGCACACCAATGGCTATCTTAGAGACAATGGGCAGAACACAAGCACAAATGAGTGGTCAGTTATACTGTGTTGCCATGGACAAGAGTCAACATTCAGAAATATTTGACCAATCAGAATAAATTAATTCCAAATATCTGTGTAATGAGTTATACATACCGTAATAAAAAATAAAATATTATCAGTAAATATAAATACAGGAGAACCTTTACAAGAAAATATTATTTCAGTTTTCCTGCTTCAACATTTCACATTTAATTCAATGTGTTCTCGTTTCTTTGTAATGGTTTCTGAAATTAGTAGCAATTAATAAAATGATTAATAAAATGGTTTCTAGACCTTTTTTGTAGCCACTAAAAATCTAAAAAATATAGTAGGCTACAACATGTTCTCACAGTTTTTTTTTGTTTTTTGTATGAAGTAAACTGATTTTTCCATTTCCATTTTTCCACTCCTGATTAATATAGGTTCCATGCTATAACCTTGTTTCAATTTTAATTTAATGAATAGACAAATATACAATAGATCCTAGTTTCTTTAGATAAAAAAGACAAAAGATCAACAAAGAATCACTTAGATTAGTATTTTAATTTAATTGAATCTAAAGTCTAAGTCTTTGTGAATTACTATATTTGAATATATATATATGTTGTGATTTGTGCTAACTATGTAGAGTTCGCAGGGGTCAAGTGAGGAGGATCTTTTTTTCCCTCCATAACGCCTATAGTTATATATGTGTTTTCACACCTTATCTGACCTTTGAGATGAAGTTCATTATATCCATTTACATGCACCATATTTAATACATGCTAAAAGTGTCGGTCCAGTGTTTCCTCGTCTCGAAGCTCTAATCACGTCATTAAGAAACATCTAACAGGACACTTCTGCAGGATCAGGTAAACCAGCACATAAACAGAGGAACTTCCATTATGGGGAACTGATGGAAACCTAAACTGACATTTCAAGTCATTCTTGATGCAATGTATAATCCCGTGTGCTTTACAGAATGCAGGACAGGTATAGATGTTCATTTGACAGGTTAACATTAAAAGGCTACAACCATAGGGATCCATTTGTTGTCAGGTCAAGAGGTGAGGGTTGCAGCAAGCTGACAGGTTCAAAAGGTGAAAGTAGGTGTGTTTGTTAGTTACGAACAGACAAATTACCATGGCAACATCTGGCATTATATAAAATGTTTGTTTTCTGTAAAAATGTTGCTTTTACTGGTTTCAAAACTTTTATAAAAGAGCCAATTGGTCAAAATTTGTAAATGTTATATTTTTAGATTTTTCTCTAATATAAATCTGGGATCTTAAACAGTTTGATCGCATACAAAGTTATGTGAAAAAAAAATTAAGTCAAATTAAAATGCAATTTTAAATTTAATTAAATATAATTAAATTAAGCATCATATACGCATGTTATAACAGGCCAGGCTTAAAATGCAGCACTCACTTTTATATAATATAAAAACCTCTTTATCCACCGAAAGGGTCTGTGAAGATCCTTGGTATACATAGTCTATGAATTGTGACATCCGTTTTAACTGCTAAAAATGTCATATGTCATATCTTGATCCAACATGCAAATATATCAGTCAAGTTCATTGTCAGTTCACTGAACAAAACACTTATTATGAAGTGCAGGCTATATGGGGCTGAGTAAAACTTAACCAGGCCCAACAAGAAACGTAAGAGTTCAGTTATCAGGATGTGTAATAGTATCTCACATCATTGCATGCTGCTATCGCAAGAAAAGGAAAGGTGCAGTCGCACATTTGCTTTAGCTCTGGCAGAAGTGCATCACAACACATGAATATGCATGAGCAAAGCACCTTGTGACCATGACAACCATGCCTTGTAAAGACTAAATACAACAAAATTCAGTCTTTCAATCTGATTCTTAGTCAAAAACCAAGCAGCTTTGGCTTAAAACAAAACACAGACAGGCATTCACATTAAAAAGCCCAAACACTGCGCATCGATTACTGACTCCGGACGAGGAGTTGTCTAACAATAACATAAAACCTCCATTTATGCTTTCTCAGTTTGTAATATAAAGATTGCTTGTCCACATGTTCATGCTTCTGGAAATGATTCTTTTCACTGTAGTTAGTTGATCCTTCTTCAAGTGACTTGACCACATTTAGCAATAAAACCATTTTATCCGTCCAGATTTTTTGAGCCAAGTGATTTTTTAAAATGCTTTCAAACCAAGTCAAAAACTTTCAAAACAAGTATATATATATATTTAAAAAACAAATTAAGTTGCATGATTATTGTAGGAAAAATACTGTAAGAAATCACATCTAAATTTGGTTAGTCCAATTTCTTTCCATAGAAAAACACTGGCTGTCAGTTTCAGGTGCAATATAATAAATATAATATAATTAATATAATATAATATAATAATACAACATTTTACAAAGTTCTGGATTTGAACCCAGCATGCTAAAGCATGTAAAAATGTACAACTAGACTAACACATTACACGTTTTAGGTTTAAAAGTACTTGTTTTTTTTGTTTTTTTTATTTGGCCATGTCTTATTTCACATTTCGCACCAAGTAATCCAGAACTGCTGGCACTTCCTAAATAACATACCCAAAATAAAATGGTTACGGTTCACGAGTCCATCTGAATCCGCATATAAGACTCAAACTCCACTTCAGATTTGAAGTTTACTTGCAGTGCCTATTATCCCTAAATTTTATACGAAATACGATTCCAATTTCAGTATTTTCACAATAGTACCTTTTTAAAAATTTGTAAACAAAAAACTGGGCCAACACTGGCTTGTACTGTATAATGGCAGTTTAATCAAATAGCTGAGCCAGTAAACTGGTGGCTGAAGTGATCAGCTGAAATCTAGATGTCGCATATGGTTTTCACCATTCACATGAACTCTCCAGCAGGTGTAGTGTTGATCTCAGGTGTCGTGGGTTGTCAGTCTTTGCTCCCTCTGCGGTCACGTCGAAAGAAGGAGAAGAAGCCAGAGCTTTGAGGAGGGCCCATCAGCATACGGGCCTGATTCTCATGAACAATTGTAATCTGTTGGAAAGAGTGAAAACAAACGCGATGTGAAAATGTTTACATTGTATGATATAAATTCATAAAGACAACCAGATGAGAAGAGATATGACAGATACATATGAAATGAACTGGCATAATACACAAATAAAGGCACATTACTTGCCCAAGAGTCTCTCCAAGACATGAACATGTTAAAAAACAGCCAGTGAATGTGAAATGTAAGTGTCATTAAAATCTTGTTTATTAACTCTGTCCCTGTCACATTTAATTGGGTGCTGAATTCCCTATTTGTGGGTCAATTATAATTCCACATCAAAGGTGATGGTAAATATCAAGCTCTTCTCTTTGAATTCACCCATTTGCCTTGTTCATGAAAGTATTCAGACACAGTAATGGCAATAAGAAGGTAAATGGTACTGAACGCCTCAAAACGAAAACCTTTGGAGCATTTAAGTTTAATTAAGAGGAAGAGTCAACATGACATTTTTAACATGGGGTGAAATCGAGAGTGTTCATATATAATGCAAATTTATTGGAATCGTGCCCTTTTTAGTGTCTCTCTGGAACAATTTGGAAGATAAAATTAGGTGCCATAAGGTGAGGATTTTAGCTTATTTTTATGAATAATAAACTTGATGTTTCTCTGTGGAATTATATAGATCTTTATTGCTAAATAATACAATACAAAATAAAAAAAAATGAAAAAAAGAAAGAAAAGAAAATTTTAATTTCCTAAAATTTTAATTTTGAAAAATACTGTATTTTGTGATATTATTTGGTAAATACGTTTTTTTTTTTCAGGCTGTTTTCCATTTATTTCCACACTGATTGCCAGGAATATATAAGGAAGAATCATGTAATGCAATTAATAAACACAATACATGCAACACGCAATACATAAACCGTCACAAGCAAACAGATACAATGCAGCACCACCTAAAAATGGTTTAGCACAATCACTTTTGCTGAGGATAAGCTGGAACACCTGAATATTGACTGTAGTGCCTCAAAAGCATTCCTTACGTTTACTGACACTAATTAAGCCTCAACGAAGCCATAGGTTGCCATGGAGATCACCTGCTACCTGTCTACCTTTAACCAGAGTTTTAATCTACAGGTACAAGTGCTCCTTCCAATTAATTGTGTTGTCATGCTTTTTGGATTCCAGGCATCGACAAAATGAAGTATATGTAAATGAACACTGCACTTCAGAAAAGATGCTTTCAGAGAAGAGAAACTTTAATTAAAAGCAAACAAAGCTTCGAATCTTGCAAATGAGGTGGTTGTTTGGGGCTGGAGCATATTTTCAGCTTTCTTGTAAAATGCTGCTGTGGTTTTTACACATGATATCTAAGACTGACCAACTAAAGCCAGTTTAGAATTAAATGCAAAGTGAGAATATCAAACTCTTAAACATTCATCAAAAGATTAACACACGCAATATCAAGTAAATAACTAAATTAAATGTGCATGTCATACTTACAGTGCAAGGGCTTTGCATCCATGGCTCACCATCAATTTGCATAGGGAGGGCTTTACTGGTTCTGTCAATGGAACATAGTTATTTAATACTGAAACATGAAGATATGTTAAATGAAGTAAAACAAATATTTTATTATTAAACAAATTGTTTTGTTTATATACAGTATATGTGTAAACATCTAGATATTAGGTTAAAAAAAAAATAGTTTTTTTGCACCATTTAAAAAAAAAAAAAATTATAGTCCTGAAGTCTTACAATGTGGCAAATGAACTTTGAATGTAGTCAAAGTACTGTACAAATATTCCACAAAGTCCCTCAAAATAATACACTACCAAGTTTGGAGTTGGTACAATATTTAATATTTATTTTGTTGAAAGCAGTCTCTTATGCTTACCAAGGCTGCATTTATTTGATCAAAAATACGGTAAAATAGTAATATTGTAAGATATAATTACAACTGAAAACAATTGTTTACTATTTCAATATATTTAAAATGTAATTTATTCTTGTGATGGCAAAGCTGAAGCCATTTCAGCATCATTACTCCAGTCTTCAGTACCACATGATCCTTCAGAAATCATGCTAATATGCTGCTTTACTGCTCAAACAACATTTCTTATATTTATCAATGTTGAACACAGTTGTAATGCTTAATATTTTTGTGGAAAACATTTTTTCAGGACCATTTATGAATAGACAGTTCAAAAGAACAGTGTTTATTTGAAACAGAAATTATAATTTTTTTTCCAATTATAAATGTATTTAAAGGGGTCATATGATATTGCTAAAAAGAACATTATTTTGTGTATCACTTTCAATGAATTTAATGCATCCTTGCTGAATAAAAGTGTAAATTTCTTAAACAAAAACTTACTAACCCTAAACTTTTAAAAACTACTACACTACAACTTTAATATAGTCAAAACTCATAAAAATAAATGAACTAGCAAAATACAGCTTTAGAAACTCGTTTTAGAAAGAGTAAAGCACAATATAAAGCATTTTACTATAGTAATAAAGTTCCCCAAATTTACTACTTCATTGGACCAAGTAAACACTTCTAAATTCAGTATATTAGGAACATGGCACTGGAAGAATGAGTTGATTTGTAATTACAATGAAATGTAACCTGATAATGATGGAGGTACACTGGGCCAGACGTCTGCCTGCGCTCTTCAGACCCGTGTAGATCTGCCCCATTTCCATTGCCCCCTCCAGCCCCACCACCTCCAACAGCTGATCAGACGGGTCTAAGAGACGGAAAGAAAACTAGTGACAGACAGAAAAGAAATAGGGAACTGATGAGGTCAACCTGATCTAAAAACGAGCAAAAATCCATCAAATAATGAAAATGACTAGTTGTACATGAGCTGAGCTTCATCTTAGGAACTTATGTTCCTAACAGATATTTTCATTCACGTCAAATTAAATAAAATGTCTAGTCTGGTTAAAGTCTCTGAACTTACAATGACCTGCCAGTTTCTCTAGATCCAGACATTGAATCTTAAATCTGACTGGATGTATCTGAATGCGCCATAAACAAAGGCACTTCCTTTAAATAATTAATTTTTATAGTAAATATTGTGTCCTATATGATAAATTGCTTGTGATTTTTCGCATTTATAAGTCATTTTGCATAAAATCATCTGCTAAATGAAAAAAAAAATGTAAATATGTAACACATGTAAGACATGTGCTAATACATAAAGTGAATTATTTAGCATTATCATTAACGTACATGAAATACACAAACCAAAGAGCCCATACAGACAATCCTCTCCCTCCAAAACACACAACCAATTTCAATATCCCTGTCAAAATGTGTTAGCCTGTTAAACCATCCACTTTCTACCAAACCTCAAGCTTGATCTGTGGGGGACGTCAGGGGGAAAATTATGAGGAGAAAGACCAAAAGAGAAGATGAGGAGCAGACAGTGGAGGTGTGTTTGGGTGGGGGAGCGTGTGAGAAGGAGAGAAAAAAAAGCAGATAAGCTTGATTTGGAATCTTCACAGTCTGCCTTCCGCTCTAAAAAAGCATAAATTGTCACCGTTGGAGAAAAGGAGGGGAGAAAAGAACACCAACAACCCACAAACAAAACACCTATTAATTAGAATGCGACACTGATGCAAAGCAATCTTGTGTTCCTCCATATTTATTAATTTGAATTCAAATATAGTACCTACTCAGACAGTATGCGGTTTTAGACACAGCTGGTAAAACATCTACTAGCCAACAAAAAATTAGGCTCTAATTATATTATAATAAAAATGAAAATAAAAAGTACAATTTCAGTCAAATTAAATTAAATAATTTTTTTTATTAAATTATTAAAAAATTTGCAACATTTAAATAAAATTAAATTATAAAAAAAATACACATTCAAATAAATTAAAACTTATTTTTATTTAAAATAATATTAATCAAAATAAATTTACATGGCTGCCCACTCTACCCCATCTGAGAGCCAGGCCTCGGGGGCTAATGCACTCCCTGTTTACCATCCAGCTAATGCTCCCTTGACTAATCTGACAAGCACAGGCCTCTCACCTTCAGAGCTCCTTCAGATGAAGCTGTATCTATGAAGGCTTTCAAAACCATCGTTGACGCACCCAGGCTAAGTGCCTTCTCTCATCCAAACCTGGGCTCGCGGTCGCCTTCGCACCAATCAATTCATCTTTTTTCCAGAGTAAATGGAATAGAATGGAGGGTAAAGGGTTCTGTCCTCTTGCTCTCTTTTTCGGAAGCCGATTTTATTCGCCAAGCGCTCCATTTCTACTTTAGCCCAACTGAGAGAAGCAGCGGCAGGATATTAGCGCAAACATGCATGATACAAATGGGTGCATTTATCAGCGACTGACTCGTATTGACTGAAATTAAAGAGTGCAAGGGGCTGGATGAACCGTAAAGATGGCCTCAGACTAACGACACCTGAGATAATGGATTGGTACTTGGGGTTTAACTGAGGTGGACAGATTAAAGAGTTTAATGAATGAGATTCTATGGAGTTATGGTGTGTAAATGTACAGATATTGATGTACTGTACAAAACATGAGTAAGTATACTCATACTAGAGGTTATAATTCATTTTCACCCATATTGACTGGAAAGAAAGCAGCTGGGCCAGGCAAGTAAACCCTTTAACCTTCGTAAACAAGAAAGTCTAACTGACAATCTCTTTCAAATGGGTGATTTCTCATCAGGGAACCTCGAATTCTGTGATTGTAAGACTGGAACAGGCTCTGACGTTTCACCCTTCATTCTGCTCTTTGTGATCCCCATGTCCCATGATAACGGCCCAAAGAGATTCTTCAAAACTACAATCAATGCTCTCAAAGCGGCACGATACATGGATTTTCCCCAATGTGGTGACAACCGGCGTACACATTTCTAGATTAGTGAACAGTGTTCTGCCTTGATGATCCTCTGTGGAGGGAAGATATAAGTGTTTATCTCAACAACAAGTCTTTACTGTTTTTTGCACTTTGACAGGATTGGGGTTAATGTCATTTGGCAGGGAACTACGTGTAAGGGTTTATGCATTTGGTACCTCTGTTGTATTAACAGGTGCAGTGTTTGCTCTTATTTCTTGCATTCAGATGCATTTTTATTAGGATTCATCCCAATCACAACAATCTCTAGGCCACATTGCTGCTTACTTTGGCCAAAAATTGCCCACTTTGACAGGAACAGGACACCTGACCAACCTGATCTCATGAGAAAATTGTACTATTTTATGAGTTGGTGATTTGTATGAATATGTATGCTTTTCCCCCCCATAAGAACACTAAAGGAAAGAAAGCATGAAGTCTATTAAGCAGATCGTAAGAAAACATACAAATTGTTAGAATTCATAACAAAAATTCACCAAAATGTTAGTTACAAATTGTGTGTTGATCTGACTGACATGTAAACTGATGAACTACAGTTTGATTTGTTTTTTACAGAAGGTGATGGGGTTTATGAAAAGTATATTATGTGATAAATCATAGTTTTATAAATATTTCATAGAAGTCAGTTTCCACCTCAAGTTCTGCGACTTCATATCTCACATCTATGACTTTATTTTTCACAATGTGACTTTATATCTCATAAACACATTCTTAAATCTCCCAAATGAGGCTTTATACTTTACAAATGGGACTTTATATAGCATATTATGACTTTAAATCTCACAATGTGATTCTATATATCACAGTTATGACTTTATATCTCATGTTATGGCTTTATACCATACCTTACATTATGACTTTGCATCTCACATTAGAACTTTCCCTCTCACATTATGACTTTGCATCTCACAATGTGATTATTTCTTATTTTGAACTATCTCACAATTACCATATTTTTTACTTAGAGGCAGGCTTTATTAGCAAACAGTAGTACTGAGTTATGTTTGTGCTATTCTGACTATCTCACAAACATAACTTAAAGCCAGTTATACATTTTATCTAGTTAAATTGCTACTAAGTGCCTCAAACTAAACACAGTATATTTTTCGAAGATGTGATATCACTAATTTGGCAAATTCAGAGATTAGTTTTGTGTGCAATAAGCATTAAACTGACAGTGAACAGACTGTGGGCGGTTCATGGGCGTACCGTCTGAGACTACAAAGCACCAAAGATGCACAACTTGCATGAAAATTGTGTACATTTTGTGTTATGAAAAACAGGAATTTGCATGATGGTAATTTCAGTATCCTTGAGCACAGCTAGTGGCAGCAGCAGACGTATGTTACAGTAAGCTTGCTGCTTTAGAAAGTTATTGAAACCCCAATCAGCCTGTTTTACCATGGTACAGTTGAGTCTGCTTTGATTAGACAGGGCTGGTCACCAACGCTAGCACAAGCCATTACAGAGCCACTGACAATCCCAAACACTGACATTAAAACTGCATCCCTTCAACCCAAACAAAAGCCACTCGCCATGATTCAATGTGTCACTGGTGAAATATTCATCATGAAAAAAGTTCTTCTGAAGTTGCCTTTGATTAATCAGGTATGAAGACAAGGACTTCGCAAACCAGTAACGTTAAGGTGACCCTTAAAGAAATGTTCCAAGTTCAATACAAGTTAAGCTCTATTGACAGCATTTACGGCATAATGTTGATTACCAAAGAAAATAATTCTGACTAGACCCCCAGTAAATAATAAATAAAAAAATTATATAAAATTATATATATAAATCAAACTAATTATTAAAAAAGAAATTAACAGAAATTAACAAAAGAAAAAAAGTTAAAAAAATAATAAAATAAAATATTAAAATAAATAATATATCTATCAAACTATTTTTGATATGTAAAGAATATGTTTTTATACCTTGGACAGCAAAAACAAGTTGTTTGGGGTCAATAATTGGGGTCTTCTTTTCCGGAAACTTCTTCCCTGTACGACGGAGACCCCTCTGTTTCTTGCTCTCTCCCCATAGGTTGGAACCGCCATGCATGCTGGGAATATTCAGGATGGCAATGCCCTCCAATGAGATGCTGCTGAGGTTCAGGGTGACACCATCACACTATAATAACATTGGGAAAGATTTGCAAGAGCGTAAACTCATAAATGTATATTAAATAACAATTATAAGAGTGAATGAATAAATGACTTCATCGGTCAATCAATAAAGAATAAACAAATCTATTACTGTTGCATTAGCACTAACATATTAAAAATAATTAGCTTTTTGTTAAGTGGTCCTTCACTTAACCTGAATTCATCAGTATTTTGTGTGAATGCAACAAAATCTTGAAAGACATTTTGGCAAAATGTAATTTTTTTTGTATTAAAACAATACACTACAGTTCATTCCAGTGGTTCAGCAAGGAGTGTTTAAGTGTTAGAAAGGTGATAAGCAGTGTTGGGAAGGTTACTTTGGAAAACTAATTATTAAAAAAGAAATTAACAGAAATTAACAAAAGAAAAAAAGTTAAAAAAATAATAAAATAAAATATTAAAATAAATAATATATCTATCAAACTATTTTTGATATGTAAAGAATATGTTTTTATACCTTGGACAGCAAAAACAAGTTGTTTGGGGTCAATAATTGGGGTCTTCTTTTCCGGAAACTTCTTCCCTGTACGACGGAGACCCCTCTGTTTCTTGCTCTCTCCCCATAGGTTGGAACCGCCATGCATGCTGGGAATATTCAGGATGGCAATGCCCTCCAATGAGATGCTGCTGAGGTTCAGGGTGACACCATCACACTATAATAACATTGGGAAAGATTTGCAAGAGCGTAAACTCATAAATGTATATTAAATAACAATTATAAGAGTGAATGAATAAATGACTTCATCGGTCAATCAATAAAGAATAAACAAATCTATTACTGTTGCATTAGCACTAACATATTAAAAATAATTAGCTTTTTGTTAAGTGGTCCTTCACTTAACCTGAATTCATCAGTATTTTGTGTGAATGCAACAAAATCTTGAAAGACATTTTGGCAAAATGTAATTTTTTTTGTATTAAAACAATACACTACAGTTCATTCCAGTGGTTCAGCAAGGAGTGTTTAAGTGTTAGAAAGGTGATAAGCAGTGTTGGGAAGGTTACTTTGGAAATGTAATAGGTTAATCCTTTTTTTTTAACCCCCCAAAAACCTAAACAGTCTGAATTATCAAGCCATTTTGATTTTGGAATGAATACCAGCGCTCTCTTCCACCTTCAGCGGGATCGGGAAAGGTCCGGCATGTGGTTTCTCACTTATTCTCATTACCTCCACCTCAAGATAATCATGCAACTTCTTGCAAGTTGCCGAGAAGGTCTCTGAGGTTCCAAACTCGAAGTACCAAAGCTTATTCTTCGTCCTGAAACCAAGAAGTTAAATCCGTTTTTTTATGTAAAAAGTATTATTTACATGTTATGCAATCATTAAGAACGTGGTGAGGCATGGTGGTTAAATATCTGAGCAGGTAGGGATGCAGAATACATGGATACCATAATGGTAATCAGTCGATATTGTATATTTTATTGCGCATGCTATTTTTTACATTTTTTTGTGAAATATTTAGATTATGATTCAGATGCTGATATTTATATGGCCAAATTCTGATAGCTTCAAATGTAAATCAATGAGATCTTTATGACATAATTTATGTATAACAGACTACCTACATAAAATGCATATAAATATCAGTTGTCATCACTCTATAATTCTCAACAATATGTCTTGGTAAGATTGTATTTAATTAAATGCTTAATTTTATAATCAAAGCTGCAGTTTTTATAGTGGGGGCAAAAATATAATGTAATGCATAACAATGATGATTAAGAGAATTAACAAATAAATGTTCCTTGAAAGCCTGATGCATCATATTTGATACTATGATAAAATGAAACCAAACCAAAGTTGCTTCAATCCAGTACATGTTCATTTTGAAATATTAAAAATAATGTTCAGAATTTTAATATTAGTGCATCTGTGCTGGTAACTGTAAGACTCAAAATGAAAATCAAAATGAATGCTTTAGAGTAATGCATAACCTAAAGTAACCAACAATGACTGGTCCTCATCTTGGCATGAAAATGATAGATATCCAGAATGACTCAAAAACTGAAGCACATGGCACAAACCCCTACCATCACAGAGCCCAGCTAGGGTTCAGAGAGGGTAATCTAGCTGCCCCTTCAATTACGAGTGGGCTGTGGAGCCGGACCCCTGTCCCCCACCCCACACAAAGTCTCTCTGGGACCAGGATCATGATCAGTGACCTCACCAGAACAAACCACCATCTGTTTTCATTACCAGCAGACACACACACCTGAACCTTCTACAGCAGGGGCCAAATTTAGAGATTTAGAGAATTACACAATCCGAAGCAGAAAAATGGGATCTGGTTAAAGTAAAATAAAGGAGATGAAGGATGTGGCAGTAACTGGTACGAAAACAATAAAAAGGCTTAAAGGTATAGCTCACCCAAAAATTAAAATTAGCTAAAAATGCATAACCCTCAGGCCATCCAAGATGTAGATGAGTTTTTTTCTACATCAGAACAGATTTGGAGAAATTTAGCATTACATCACTTGCTCACCAATGGATTTTCTCTGCAGTGAATGGGTGCCGTCAGAATGAGAGCTGAAACAACTTGTAAAAACATCACAATAATCCACAAGTAATCCACACCACTCAACAATTAAAGGGGTCATATGATGCGATTTCAATTTGTCCTTTCTCTTTGGAGTGTTACAAGCTCTTGGTGCATAAAGAAGATCTGTAAAGTTGCAAAGACTAAAGTCTCAAATCCAAAGAGATATTTTTTATAAAAGTTAAGAGTCAACCACGCCTACCTAAAACTGCTCGTTCTAACACGCCCCCACATGTCTACGTCACGATGTGGGAAGATTTGCATAACGCCGCCCAAATGTTCACGCAAAGAAAGAAGGCGTAACTTTTATTCTCGCTGTAGTATTGTTGCTGCTGCTATGTCGTGAAGGCGCTGTATTTCGTTGTGAAAGCGAAACTACTTTGTTTGGTCTTCCAAAATAGGACGATATCTGCTTCGTCATGCCTGGAGCTGATCCGTGCTGTTCGCTGAGGAAATACATCAACTTTGTGCTGTGGATCGCCAGATCGGCTTTCACCGTGGACGAAGCAAAGTCCAGCCCGGGGTCGTCACATGTAGTTGCCGCAAGCC